ACAATGAACAAACCATTAAGAATCCAGCAAAATAAAGTCAATCATTCATGCTAACAGGAATTAACATTCATGCTATTACTTACCCTCACATAAGTATTTCCAGTAGCCTCATTTACATACACTCCCACCCCAGTTGTTGCAACTCGCATCTCTCTTTCAATCGTCCTTCGGTCACCAACGTTCAATCTAATATCCTACATGGTGACAATGGACAAGTTATTGCATTTTAGATTTGTTCAATTAACATCCTACACGTTCACACTTATTCTCAGTTATCAAAAGCATATTATACTTACTTGGACTCCGACACCTTGGTTGAGAGGGCAAGTTCGCGCGTTATGTGTGACACTACCACACTTCGAACAATGGCCGACTCTCTTCTTCCTTGTAGTAGGGTCGGTGTTGGTGTTCCCACCATCTGCAGTAGGGGCTGTAATATTGATTCCAGCTGCTGCAGTAGCAGTAGGCCTCCCCGTAGCTACTGGAGTTGTGTTTCGAGCTGCTCTTGTATAGGCCTACAAGGAAAAGCAGAGTTTCCATGTTAGTATACGATTACCAAAAGTCAACAAAATAGGATAATGACAATTGCACTAACCTGACAGTCAGCAGCGGAAGCCTTGCATCCCCTAGCATTATGCCCCTCACCACCACACTTCGAACAATGTATTACACTACCCCTTCTAGTTACCTCTTCTCCAACTCCATTCCTTTGTGGTCGAGTTTCTAACTCGTGTGCAGCCTTTCTCCGGTTCTTCTTAGGCCTGCCCGGCATGGCCCTCTACTTGGGAGGGTGTACTAGAAGTCCCACCCCTTCTGGCCAAGCTTGCCTGCCATCTAAGCAAGGGATGCCGACCTTGTAGCCTTCAACGACATGCTGAGCATGATAATAAGGATGAACATAATCATCCACTTCTAATCTCAAGTGGGATATTGCTGAGACCACATGGCAGCAAGGCACGCCGCTCAACTTCCAATATCCACATGTACAACTCTTGTCATTGAGGTCAACAATGTAACCTGAATTAACCATTTTGACCTCACACTTGGCATCCAAGGTCTGCCTAGCAATACACAGTCTCGACCATTCCTTCTCCTTCTCTACCCTCTTCCTAATTCTAGGGCATAACAAATCAAGGGTATCCATCAACATAGTGTGCTTGATCATGAACCGATCCATCATGTACAACCTAATCCCCTCTAGCATGTCGATTATCCTCATTCCCCTAAACTTCACAATTGTTCCGTTCCAAGTCTCACAGATATTGCTTTCAAAGGAATCAAACTTAGATACAGTCGACATGAAAGCTCAGCAGAAAATTCTAGGTTCAGCATCCATGAAATCTTTGAAAGGAGTAGAACCAAACTCAATACCTTCTATTGCCTCCATTTCATTTGTTTCTTTCTTCCAATCCACATCGTTACAAGCATAAACAGTCTTCCAAAAGAGCTTATGGACCCGATCTGTTTTGTTCTTTGCTTTCCAATTTGCATAAACGTGGCGTGCACACTTTCGGTGCTTAGCCTCTGGCAACAATTCGTGTATAGCATCAACTAAATCCTGCAAAAGCAGCCGAGCAAAAGCAGTTAACAAAAAGCAGAAATTGCTTTCAAAAACCAGCAGAAGTAGTCGAGCAAAAGCAGTTAACAAAAAGCAGAAATTGCTTTCAAAAACCAGCAGAAGTAGTCGAGTAGAAGCAAGTTAACAAAACAGCAGAAATTTCTTTCAAAAACCATCAGAAGTAGCCGAGCAGAAGCAAGTTAAAAAAACATCAGATATTGCTTTCTAAAACAAGCAAAGTAGTCGACCAGAAGCAACTTTCTTCCAATTCTAGCAGCAAAAATTAGCACATTCCAGCAGCAGCAAGTTAACAAACAAACGAGCATGAGCAACAAAGCAACAAAAATTAACAAAACAAGCAACAAAAACCAACCTTTTGTTGGTATGAGATAACTATCCATTATCCAACCCCTTTCATCTGTTAGTCCTAATTCCTGTGACAAGATGTTAACAAACCACCTCCATGAGTTGGTGTTCTCTCCCTCTACTACTGCCCGGGCGATTGGGTACATCTGGTTATTGCCATCCTTCCCCACCGCAGTAAGTAGCATACCCTTCACCTCACCCTTCAAGAAACAACCGTCTAGTCCGAACATTGGGCGAGAGGCTAAGAGAAAACCATCTCGTATGTTAGAGAACCCGATAAACATTCTCTGGAAGAAGACCTTTTCTTGTGTAGGATGTGGCTCAACTTCTAGAACAAACCTCCCATCCCTGTCTCGTTTCTTCAGCTCACCCAAGTATGACCGTACCTTCTTGTACTCATCCTTCAACGATCCACTCAGGAGTTTAATGGCTGCCACCTTAGCCCTGTAACAACTCCTTCTCTTCACATCAATGTTATGCTTCAACTTCACCTCGGCCATGATTTGATCTGGTGCCCATTCAGGATTGATCCTGAACCTTTCCAGCATATCTTTGGCAATCCACTTAGCAGTCACTTGATTAACCCTGAGCTGCCTCGAACATGAGTGTGGCAGCCCCACCTTCCTCACCATGAAGGATTGCTTCTTCCTAAACCAGCTTGCATAAACTCGCCATTTGCAGTTCTTGTCCTTACACTTTACTTCTAACCTCGAAGGGTTAACCCTAACCCACCTCAAACATGCCCCAGCTGCTACGGAATGCAGCACTACAACACTCTTGAACTGCTCCGGATAGTCGAACTTCATACGAGCAATGAACTGGAACTTCTTGTGGTCACACACAGGATCGTAGTGTGGTGCGGAGTCGAATATATCAGCACTTGCCTCGTCGAATAAGTTGCCTCGCACGTGGTCAGACTCCTCAGACAGTCTACAGCTCGAATGGGCTGATGTCTCCCTACGTGCTTGCTTAGTTGGAGATGCTTGCTGATTTTGAGAAGCTTCACCTCCCTCTACTACATTGTCATTCTCTAAACCTCCTCCTTCTTCTACCTCATCTTCTGATTCCCCCTCTTCAGAATCCGCCTCGTCAAACTCATCCAACTGTTCCACCTCCTCCCCATGACCAACAACCCTTGTCTTCACCTTCCTTTTTCTCATCTCACCGTAGGCTCGAAGGTTGTTCCTTGCTTCATGGTATTCATCGTCGGAGGTGTCCGCATCATCTGAGTCATACACATGGTGAATTTGTCGAGCTACAGAATGGGCAGCTTCACCTTCATTAGCTGAAACGTAGTCACCCGAATTGGCTTGGTGATTTGGATCATGCTCTTCCCATGAACTCACCATATGTACAAGGCACACCAACACTTTGGTAAGTAAACCCCATAATTAATTAATTCTCTAATCACAATTAAGTCACTAACCTAGTTTAATTAGTTTTTAAATCACTAAACAACAAAGGCAGAACCACCTAATAAACATTATTCTATCCTAGGGTTTTCCAAACCAATGACGATTGTACCCAGAATTTTGAGCTGCTTACCTTCGATTTCAAGGGCAAACTCGAGAAAGAAGACAACCAGTGGTCCCGAGATGCCTTTGTTGTGTCACTTTCCTACCTTTATTGCCCGCTACGATCTATAAAACGAAGGAACCAACACACCTTTACAACACTGCACCCACAATCTAACATTTGCGACAAGAGAAAAGAGGAAAATAGACAACCAGAGATGTACTTACCGGTCGAATGAAAGGAAGAAGCCCAGAAAATCAACCGCCCGAGATTCCCAAAAGCTTCCTGAGGATTAGGATTTTTTTTCTGTCGAAGTGAACTTCGGATTCTTTGGTTTCGATGGTCGATTTGAGCTCACCAGAGTTCAATCGCGTCGCCGGAATGCTCGCCGATCCTCTATTAACCACCTGGATGCATCGCCACGACTAGGGATGGCAATGGGGCGGGTTTGGGGCGGGTTTGCTTAAACCATCCCCATACCCATCTTCAAATATCCAAACCCATACCCGCCCCATACCCATGCGGGGGAATGTTTTGCAAACCCATCTCCATACCCGTGGGTTTCGGGTACCCATGGGTAATACCCATACCCGTACATCCAACATTATTATACCTAAACTTACAAGAAAAGTTCTAATTATAACTTTAAACGAACATATTATATCATGAAGTCAACAAAACACGGTCATTTTTTTAATATGGCTCAAAGATTATGATCCTAAAATATCCATTTATACATAATATAGAGTATAATATTTTTCAAATTATTATGTTCTAACTCTGATACATCTACTAAATAATAATTAACTAACATAATCTTGTTGACAAGGGAGAAAGTGAAAGAGTGAAATGAGAATTGAGAGAAATGAATTAGATTTTGATTAAGGTGGTCACCACACTACAGGAAAAAGGTTTATTAATCACAGGAAATACCGTGTTTGAAAGTGCATTTACCGTGCTTAATGATTTTGTTCACGGTAAAATTACCATAACAGGAAGCCCTGTGACTAATTGTAAAGGTCACGGGAAACATGTACCGTGACAAGTTATAACTAGTCACGGTATTGTATTCCATGATAATATGTGCCTATTAATCACGGGGGTTCCCATGACAAATGCAAAATTTTAAAACACATTTTCTTGAAAAAATATTTTTAGAGATGGGATATATACCTTTTAAGATAGTGCTTACCGTGAATAAATCACTTCCCGTGACTAAATTTCAATCACTAGTCACGGGATTTGTACTTGTAGTGGCTGGTGCTCCCATGACTAAATACAAACCATTATACACTGTATATTACCGTGACTACTTATGAACCTCTGGTCACAATATTTCCCGTGAATATAAACAAACAATTATTCACGGTATATTACCTGTGACTAACTACAAACCACTAGTCACTGTATTTTCCCATGACTGCATATAAATCAATAATCTTTCTATTTCCTGTGACTACATAAAACCAACTAGTCACGATAACAATAGTAGTTGAATCCCAAACACATTAATACATTCACGTGTCCAAAATTCTAATATTGGTAACAAAACCAAAATTATACATATATAAATTCAAGTGTCTGAAATAGAAAAGATAGTTGAAACAAAAAGGGAACGGAGCCGGAGTTGTCAGTACACAATAGCATCATGACCTATAACAAATTACCATTCATCCTTTCCTAGTTCCACGAGAAATACTTCTGCATATCCATCGAGTGCTTCTTCTGCAAATCCATGAAGTATTAAAAAGGATTATGAGAAAGAATTTAACACATGAAAGATACTAAATATATAAAAATTCCCAGACATTTGTTTATATATACATCAGACTCCATCAACACAAGAATCCAATACATGAAAGAATCTAACACTAGCTATAAAGAAAGTCCCAGAGAACATATCTACAATCACCCTATAAACAAAGTCAAACAATTTATTTATTCAAACATGCAACCAAGGACATGGAAATTTGCCTCCTTTAGCCTGCCATATAATCTTAATGCATCACATAACTAAAATTGATTTAATGGGATAAGCAACACATTTTTTGCAGCAACAAAGGATTATTCTTACCAGAAAATCCACAAGAAGACAGCCCCAGCCTTCACTCGAATTAACAATCTTCAACATGAGGCATCCTAGTGATCTCTTATAGCAATTCTGTTTACACAAATCCAATTGACTGAGATTTCAGGATGCTCAAATTCAGTAAAAACCAAAGCTCAAATCTCATCAATTCTGCCCATTCCACACAATTTGCTAATAAACACATAAAAGTGACCATGATAAAACAATTCAGTACCAGTCTAAGCTCTCTTCTTTGATTTGATGCATGTAATATGTCTTCTATAAGAAAACATAAAGAAATAATTATGTTAGGAACAAGCTATGAGAAAAAAATATAATGAAAACTACCATTTGGATAAATCGACAAAAAATGATACCAGTTGATATGTTGAACCTCTTCATTTTGGAAACCATCAACAGCTCGAGGTGGCACCTTTATAGCCAAGTGCCAGTTCCGATTCATATTGTCTTCAACATAGAAAACCTGGGATACTTGACTCGCTAGAACAAATGGTTCATTTGTCTTCAACATTCTACTGAGGTTGACACTCACAAATCCATGTTCATCCACTTTCAGCCCCTTTGTCTTATCATATACATCACACCAGTCACACCTAAACAAAGCCAATGACCTTCCTCCAAGAAATTGCAACTCAATGACCTCTCTCAAAACCCCATAGTAGTTTATAGCATTCACATCTACTCCATCATCACCAACTACTATGACTCCAGAATTTTGCGTCCTCAAATTCTTGTCATGATCCTTTGTGTGAAAACGATAACCATTTAATACATAACCTGTATAAGATTTGACAGTTTGAGCAGGGCCTCGAGAAAGTGCTAATAGATCATCTAACGTCTTGCTCTTGTTCGGTTCATAGGAATTTCCAACCTACAACAAAGGTGTATGCCACGTTATTTCAACTTGCATGGAGAAAACCTAAAAAAAATTTCAATCTAATATTAGATTAAATTTATTTTACAACAACAGTCATATAAAGAGAAAAACATGGTGCTGCATTAATTCAGATTGCATTTCCATACCTTTAAGCAAAACTGCCATCATCTTATACTAGTTTATTCCCTTCCATTAAGTCATCAGAAGCTTGGCGGCCAATAAAAAACAACCATCATGATCAATTAAAGGTCCTACAGCCTAGAGCAAACCCACACAAGTTATCCAATATACTTGAACCATACCAAGCACCAGTACTAGAGCAAACCCAAAGAACTAATCCATTATACTTGAACCATACCAAGCACCAGTACTACTGTGTATGCTTGATGATTAAAACATGACTTCTTAGAAATTAATTAGGGGAAGAACTTACTTCTTTCTTGAACCAAGAAATGAAGCCTGCATCGTCCTCCTTATAATTGCCTCCCAATAAGTCATTCTCACAAAGCTGTCGAAATTCTCTACAATATGAAAAGGATTATTTAGAAATTTTAGTAATGAAGCTGAAACAAAGACATCGTTGAAATATTAAAAATCTTACTCGAAAAATGGTTGCACTTCTTCTGAGTTCTTCATCACATATATGTGAGCTTGCTCTAATTCCTTTGGACTCAACCTACGAACATTGTCATTACTACCCAAGAATCGGCCGACTTGTGAAAATTCCAGAAACTCGGACAAATCATTTCCATCATAATTCCTGTCCACCCTATTGAACTTTGTTTGGATACCATTCAAGTACCTGGAGCAAAGAGTCATACATTCTGAAGCAATATATCCTTCTGCAATGGAAGCCTCAGGGTGCGTTCTATTTCGAACATATGACTTTAAATCATGCAAGTACCGCTCTATAGGATACATCCACCTGAATTGAACTGGCCCCCCAATCATAGCCTCATCAGCCAAATGTACTGGTAGATGCACCATAACATCAAAAAATGCATGAGGGAAGATCATCTCAAGTTTACAAAGAGTGCTTGGAAATTTTGCTCTTATTTCATCCAACTCTTCTGCCTTCAATGATTTTGAACACAATCTTTTGAAGTAGAGTGACAATTCTACAAGAGGATCATACACATCTTTTGGTAAAAGACCTCTAATTCCAAGTGGAATAAGATGTTGTAGAAGAACATGACAATCATGGCTTTTTAAACCTGATGTATTATGTTCATCCACATTCACGCAATGAGATACATTAGATGAGAAGCCATCAGGAACCTTCATTCTCTTCAAAAATTGGCAGAACTTATGTTTTCCATCTCGCAGCAACGTATATTTTGCTCGCGGCATAATTAACTTCCCTCCTTCTCGATTGGGATGTAATTCTAGTTTCAGTTTCATCTCCTCTAGGTCGAGACGAGCTTTCATAGTATCTTTAGTCTTTCCCTTCAAATCCATGATTGTCCCAAGCACATTATCGCAGACATTCTTCTCAATGTGCATGACGTCTAAATTATGACGAAGCAAAAGTGTCTTCCAATATGGGAGATCGAAAAAGATACTTTTTTTTTTCCAATTGTCTCCTCTTTCATCATTTGATATCTTCACTTTCGCTTTTGGACATTTTGTTAAACAAATCCCCTCAAGGTCTTGAACTTGATTAAGTATTTCATATCCTGAGAATCGCCTTGGCTGCCCGCGTTTCTCAATTGTTCCATCAAATGAATCTTTATCTTTCCTCCATCTATGACCATTCGAGAGCCAACAACGATGACCCATATAACAAAACTTTCTTCCATTGTATAACCACTCAGACTTGGTGTCCTTAGTGCAGACAGGACAAGCCAACCTTCCCTTAGTACTCCACCCTGATAAGTTGGCATAAGCTGGAAAATCGTTGATTGTCCACATCAAGGCTGCATGTAATTGAAAATTTTGCCTTTTTGATGAGTCAAAAGTACTCACTCCTTCTTCCCATAAATCTTTCAGATCTTCAATCAATGGTTGCAGATATACATCTATAGCATCTCCGGGACTTTCTGGACCAGGAATTAGCATCGATAAAATGAAATTGGATGGTTTCATAATCATCCAAGGAGGTAGGTTGTATGGAACTAATACCACTGGCCAGATGCTATAGGGAGTTTTAGAATGTGAGAAGGGTTGGAAGCCATCACTGGCTAGAGCAAGCCTCACATTTCTAGGGTCTGCTGAAAATGATTGATGGCGGTCATCAAAGGATTTCCATGCTGGGGAATCAGCTGGATGTCTCATGACTCCAGCATCGCCCTTGTTCTCATGATGCCAAGACATTTGGGAAGCTATCTTTGTTGACAAATATAATCGTTGAAGTCGTGGTTTTAGCGGAAAATAACGTAATGTTTTCTTTGGAAGTTTCTTTCCATTGGCTTTAGTCATGACTTCCCCACTACGTTTGTCAACTTTCCATCTAGACGCATGACACACCTTGCAATCATCACGTTGTGCATCATCCTTCCAGAATAACATGCAACTATGCTCACAAGCATCAATTTTTGTGTATGAAAGGCCAAGATCCTGAATGATCTTTTTCGAGTCATAATATGAATCTGGCAAAGTTGAATCCTCTGGTAAAAGATCTTCTTTCAACAACTTGAGCAACATGTTAAATGACTCGTTACTCCACCTTCCAAGAGTCTTAATGTGAAGAAGTTTCACTATAGTTGACAACTTTGAACTCTTGCAGCCCTCATAAACCGGTTTCTCCGAGTCATTTAACAATCTATAGAATGTGCTTGCATCATCATTCGGCCTCTCATTGCATACTTCATCATAATCCATAGCAATTTCCTCTTCCCTGATATCAATGTTAGGATATAAATCCCTCAAAACTTGATGCATTTCGTTGACATCCTCATGTGTATCATTAACATTTTCATTTGCTGATCCAAATGGCTCACCTAATCTTTCTCCATGGTGGCACCAGAATGTATAATTTGAGACAATTCCATAAATGACCAGATGTGTCGTGACTATCTCACGTGTTCCTGACTTCCCATTGCAACACTTGACACATGGGCATTTAATCTCGTTCCCACCCCTGTTTCTTTGAAATGCATAGTCTATAAATTCTGAGACTCCATTTTTATATTCTTCACTGAGTCTATTATTGACTAGATTCATCCAATTTTTACTTGGTGCCATCTCCTAAAAACCAATAGAATTACCGTAAATACCTCACTCATCCAATTAATAGACCTAAAACTAGAACTACAGAGGAGTTGCACAACATACCTGGATATTACGAAACGATTCTAGGAGATGTATTTTGAATCCTGCCAATCTTCGGGAAATAAACCACCAAGTGCTGCAAGTCGAGATTGAGTAATCGTAAATATTTATCATAGATTTTCGCAAATGCTGCATAGTTTTAATTTCTGAGGGGAGGGTAGAGAATAATCGATGGCATACCTTAGTTCCGACAATAGGAGATCTGGTGATAACAGTTCCGGTAGTTTCGGCAATACCAATAGCTCCGTAGCTTCCAATAGCTCCTTCGTCGGCAACGGCAGCTCCGGCAGTTTCGGCAATACCAATAGCTCCGTAGCTTCCAATAGCTCCTTCGTCGGCAACGGCAACTCCGGCTACATAGACCTCATTCTTTGGGGAGATTTTCGATGTTTGAGGATAATCAAGAAGACCTCAAATTGAATGGAAGAGAGGCATGAATCGGTTGCAGCATTATGGATGGACATTGAAGGGGAAAATGAGATTTTCAGATTAGGTTTGTTCCATTTTGAGGAAATCGATATGAAAGAAAGAAGGAGGGGAAGTACTGGGAGAATAATGGAAAGGTAAAGTAAAGGTTTTTTTTTGTCTCGAAATGCCTTGGTGAAAAAAAATTTGTCTGTAGTAAGATTTGAGCCTTAGTCAAAGTGGCAACTAAATTTCAGTTCAGCAAGTAAACCACACCAATAACAGCACATTTATTGATAATTTTTTGTGCATATATATTCTTAATCACACGACAAGTCCAAATCATAAAATAATTTATAAATCTCTTTTGAGTTGTTACCCGAAATATAAAATGGAGTACTCATATCCTAAAATAGGGGAAATAAACTTTTGCTCCAATCCGATGCCTGAGCACAAAATTACGATCCTTCAAAGTTTGACGAAATCACAAAATACTCTGTTTGGATCACTAAATGACCTACTTTTTAGAAAATGCGAGGCCAAACCGCCTAAAGCAGTTTACGGTTACATATATCTCGAAAAGTTATGTGAATTTTTTTTTTTACCTCAATTGGATAACCGAGTGCAAAGTTATGATCGTTTAAAGTTTTGCCAACTTACATGACATGAAAAACAAACATGTAATGATTAATTTGATAATTATTAACCGATTAAGTTGATAACTATTAACTGAGAGTTTCAATAAGTGGGTGGTTGTTGCATATATGCTTGTAATTTCTTTCTTTCCCTTGTGGAAACTCTGCAATTTTTTTGGAGTTACATATATGGCCATTAATTTCTTTTTCTGTCAACAAAAACCTCTATCCTTACATATATTAATTAAAGGATCATATGAGCATAATAATATTGAAGTAGATGTTCACATAACGATAGAAAGAGTTTTACATGTTTCTAACCATCTCAACCACTAACAGTAATGCAAGACATGACACCAGCCAAAATGATTCAAAAGATTACAACAAACATCTAAAACTCTTTCTATTTTAGAGTTAAAAGTTCAAAATATCATGCTTCCTCCAGCAACAAAAACTTTGGTGTCATGTATACCATCCAATTAAACTTCCATACCTGTCATGACAAAACAATAAGCAATAATAATTATCAGCCATATGCAACAACAATAGTTCAACTGAATGTTCAAATGAACAAAAAAGAAAAACCAGCAGTAGGAGTATACATACCTAAGACTGGCTGTTTTGACAAGCAGGAAGGTCGGACCTTTGTGCCATCCTTTCCATCATAGCTCTCATTTCAGAAATTACTTTTGCTTGATCTGCTATCATAGCTGCCATGTCTGCTTTCTCCCCATTAGAGTGTCTTAATTTGCTCGCCAATTCAGCCCTACTTAATGCTTCTGGACCTTTCAAGTCTTTAGGCCTCAATCCACCACCATAGCCAATTATATGTCCATGATTTTGTTCTCCAAAGCACTTCTCTACCAACTCTATCGGCTCCAAATCCGGATTAGCTTCACGAGTTTGAACAAGTTCAGCCTATCAAATAAAACAATAAAAACAACCAACCATTACAAACCATAGATAGTAGACGTACCATACATGAATAACTTAAATATTAAAAAACGGCAGATTACATGTCTTTCTAATGCTGCTTGTTCCACAATTACACCACCGCTCTTGTGTGTCTCAAAGAACACTTGATCTATGGTTGGAGGAGTCCCATCTTTTCCACCCTGTAAACATGATTGATTCAAATGAACCCCACTACTCAATCAAGCTAACATATATTGCCAATCCAAGAAAAAACAACTCTGCAATTCGATAGCTAGGCATTGCATTGCTGAAGTTTAAAAAAACTCAGCAAAACATAAAGTACAACCACGAGCATAACTTAGAACATATGAAACACTAATTGAAACATATGAAAAAGGCAGAAGCAGCAGCAGCGTAACTTGAAATAGGCAGAACCAGCCGCATAACATATGGAGAACCAACATCATAACTTGAAACATAAGGCAAAACCAGCAGCATAAGGCAGAACCAGCCGCATAACATATGGCAGAACCAACATCATAACTTGAAACATAAGACAAAACCAGCGGCATAATGCAGAACCAGCAACATAAAGCAGTAGTGAAAGAGAATTTTCTACCATCTCATAATAATATTCTCGATTAGGCTTGCTTCCGCTGTGATGATTCATAGTTTTCATCATTCTATTCTTAGCATTGTTCTTGCTCAATTTCTGCAATGAGATGGAAAAAATTTAGTTCAGTTTGATAAATCATACTAAACAAATTGCAAGTACATAAGACTAGTGTTCATTCTAACCTGAAACTCATTAGTGTAAAACACATTTTTCACACACCACTCCCAATCCTCTTTATCATCAATTGCATCCGGCTTGTTTTTCAAAGCTTCTTCTTCACTACCACATGGCTTTGCATATTTACAATACAAGACAGATCTCCATTTGTTCCAACGATCCCTCATATGTATTAAAGTATGATACTTGAACTCTAGCATATTAGGATTATCGAAGTATTCCTACATAAACAATCAAAAACATATTAAACTAACATGAAAGAAATCATAAGACACATAAGCATACAAGAACAAATTATCATGTCATCCTTACCGTAAGTGCAGCCCACATATGATCAAATTCTGCCCTACTCTTGGACTTCCATCTTCTTGATCTGAACGAGCAAATTCGAGGATTGCGAACAAGCAGTCCAATGAAGCTTGACCAGGTTGCTCGATTTGGCCCAGCACCACGATTGTTGTAAAAGGCAATCGGCAACTTCTCTCCCCGCCTAAGCCTAGCAACCGCCTTACACATACTCTTCCCTCGCACATTTTTCTTTCTAACTTCTGCATATAAAACCAATCATTAATAGCACTAATGTTGCAAAGACACAATAGACATAACAAAATAAATCAGAGAACTAATAAGCTTTAATCTATGCATAGTCTTAACTATGTTTTTGCAGAATGTTCTATAGCCTAACCATAATATAGAAACCAGTAACATGTTCATTTTTAAGTCATCAAATTGATAATAAACTTGCCTCTATTAGCTGATTCATCATTAGGAGCCACATGAACATCATCATTAGCAGCCATGTCTGCAGCAGCAGCCATGTTCGCAGCAGGTTCAACTTGTGCATCTTCCACAGCTGGTTCCTCTGGAGGTACTTGCATATTTCTCTCAACTGAGACTTCCCTTGCCCTTTGGGGCATGTTGGTAGTTACAACAGGGGATTCTCTTGCCCTATGAGGAGCTGCAAAACAGAGTTAATAGTTAATAGTTTGCAGCAGAAAAATGTGATAAAAAATTACAAAAGTTCCTTACTAGATGAAGACATTAGGCTAGAGAAACTGGTGGGTCGATTTGGAACCCTCCTCCCAAGTGAGCCAGGGGCAACATACTTTGCTGGGGTTTTCTTGGTAGCACCATCATTGTCACGAGATTGACCCATATTTTGAAGGTTCTGACCACCCTTCGCCTTCAAGTTCTTAGTACGGTTCACCTTAAGGTTATGACCAGCCTTCATTATCTATTCTACAACAAAAGAACAAGGTAACTACATCAGAAAATCAGAGTAACCTTACCATTTATAGAAACATGTAGTCGGAGATATGAATGAAAAGTTCAAATCCTATTGCTTCTTCTGTTCCAGCCCATTAAATTAGAAAATTAGAATGCAAATTGGAGATGGTACTATCCATTACAATCGAAAAAACATAACCATTTGCAACCTGACATGAGAAATTTAATCCCTATCCAAATTCGTGTAGAAACAGAACCAGTTGTATGCGACTAAAACATATAGAAAGGGAGGAGATTATACATACCTTATGGAAGGAATTCAGTAAAGAACGAAGGATGTTGTCTATTCAGGGAAGGAGTTCAGTAAAGAAGGAAGAAGGAACCAACTGGAACGAAAGATTGAAAGGGGAAGAACAAAGAGATTCTTATCATGAAGGAGAGGGATTGGAAAGAAGAGAGCTTTCCTTAGATTGGGAACGCAAAAGAGAGATAGAGAGCTTCCTTTTAGTTGCTCTTTCCTTTTTATATGACAAAGTTGGAGAAGCCCAAAAGTCTAGCGGGAGAACCCCAAAAATCCAATTAGCGGGAGAACCTCCAAAATCTTAGCGGCAAAATTTTAGGTTTCATTGGAGCCAAAAGTTTAGAATTTCTTGGAGCCCAAAGTTCCAGATCTTTAGCCTAAATTTTGGTAGGAAACTTTTACCTAAATTTTCAGATTTGGAGCCCAAATTTTGCTAGGGAATCTGTAGGCGGGAAGTTGGTGCATCTTTTTGGCAAACCAATTTTTAAGGATTAGTTTCCCAATTCTTTTATTTATTAGGGAGAAATTTTTCACCATAATTTTAAAATTCATCTTAATTCTTAGTCACATTGTTCACTATAAAAATTTTCAATCACATTGTGCATCTTTTCAATTCATCTTAATTTTAATTTTAAATTCTAATTTTAACCATATTGTTCACTATAAATTGTCACATTGTTCATGGTAAAAATCATGAGTAATTATTGGTCGCATTCTTCACAGTAATTAAAACCGTGAATAATTATTAGTCACATTATTCACGGTAATTAACCATGAGTAATTATTAGTCAAATTGTTCACGGTAATTGTCACATTGTTCACGGGAATTAACTGTGACTAACAATTAATCACGGTAAATGAGGACTGAAAAATAGGTTCATTAATTACCGTGATTAGAACTATACAATCAAACACAGGAAATTTTACTGTGACTGTTAGCATACTTCTTAATACGGGAAAATTTACCGTGAATAAGTTCCCGTGACTACAAACCAGTTTTCCTGTAGCCAATTGCATTTCTACTATTTATTTTCTCAAGTTATCCTCATCATCATTGATAGATTATAATTTGATGCACATATTTTTTTTTATATATGAAGAAATTATCTTGGTGGGGCGGGTATGGGGATGGGTATGGGGCGGGGGAGGCTAAAACCATACCCGCCCCACACCCATCAAACTTTTTGCGGGTTTTACCCATACCTGCCCCATATCCGGTCAAAGCGGGGATTCCCCGCGTTGACTGGGTCGGGGGCGGTCGGATACCCGCGGCCATGGGTTTGATTGCCATCCCTAGCCACGACGCCACCGACTCGGAGGACGAAGTTTGGGGTGTGGGTATGGGATGAGTGGGTGGAGGAAAATCTGGTATGAGGAGGAAAGGGGTTTTGTTAGTCGTTGCGGGATCGATCGGAAAAGGCCGGGGTGCTCGTCGTCGGCGAACACCGGCGCCGTTCTGGAGAAGGACCACACTGTTCGTTGTCTTCGTCGGGGGAGTAGGGTTCGAAGGGGAAGAAGTTGTCGAGTGTGGAGGAAAGGAAAAATGAAAAGGAAGAGAGAGGAGGATGCTGATCTGTTCGACTTATCCTTTTTTTTTTCTTCTTAATCCACGTGAAAAATACTTACTGGACGAAAATCGCCACATCGAATTATCCGTTAATCCAGTCAGCACCGTAAGGCATGCCGTCAAAGAATTGGACGGAAATGACTATAGTTGGTATTTCGTCAAAATTGACTATATTTGACAATATCGTCAAAGTTTTGACTATACAAATGCATTTTGCCTAACATTTACACATAACAACCATTCATGGCGTATCCTTATCCCTAACTAACAAGCACCTTCAATTCCTTTCCTTGTACAGAGGGAAACGAAACGAAGGGAGGGACCCTCGATACGTCCCCTCCAGGTCCAGCTCAATGAAGAATGACTGAAACTAAATGAAGCCATGCATAGCCATTATATACCCACAAACAATTCATTCCAAAATCCCCCATGAATGGCTTTGCCTGCACAGACGTGGCTTCCTTCAACCAATTTCCATCCCTGAAAAATCAAACCAAAAGAAAAGAAAAATGTTTAACAATAATTGCCAAAGCTGAAACGATAAGCGCCTGCCAACCAGACCAGACCAATAGGCAGCTTCTTTCTATCTCACCCCCATCCCATCCCATCCCTACTACTGCTACTTTTCCACGTCAATGCTTGCTTGCTGCTGATTCCTGTTTGTTAGATGATGAGATGTTTCTTGCCTTCTTCTTCTTCCTCTTCCACACGTGCATGTGCCATGATAACAACTTTGTACGACAAAATGGAGAAGAAGCTCAGCTCACTCTGAGTCTCCCTTCAGCTTATATAGCTGGTGTTCAATTAACTCAAACAAGACAGATGTCCTTACATGATTGGTTCAAATTAAACAAACAGTAAAGCTTAACGGCTAAGTGCAGAATAAGTAAAACGCTGCCGTTCTCACTCAACATAACAGCTCTTCATAAAACGAAGTCGTTCCAATCTTCTTTCTTCTTCCTTGTATCACGAATCCTTGCCCAATCTGGATTAGTGCATCTGCTACTCTTCTCTTCTGGTTTCCTCCTTCTTCTCTTCAATTCTGTCAGCCCCCCTCAAGTTGGTGGTATCAGTTTGATCCCCAACTTGATAAGCAATTCCTTCAACCTGAAACGATCCAGCCCCTTAGTGAAAATATCTGCAAGTTGTTCAGCAGTGTTAATGTACTTCAAATTGATCAATCCAATCTTAATCCTCTCCCTTGTAACATGCATATCAATCTCGATATGTTTTGTCCTTTCGTGAAAAACAGGGTTTTCTGCTATGTGTATAGCAGACCTATTATCACAGTAAACTGTTATAGGGAGAGGCAATTCCACTGTCAATTCACTCAGCAGCCTCTTCATCCATTCCACTTCACAAACAAGATGGGCTAAAGCTCTATATTCAGCCTCAGAGGAAGACCTCGAGACTGTTGTCTGCTTCTTCGTTTTCCAGGTCACTAGGGAAGAACCCAGCATAGTACAATATCCTGTGATGGATCTTCTGGTGTCAGGGCAGCTAGCCCAATCTGAGTCACTGTATCCAGTCAGCTTCAACTCAGCTTCATTACTGAAATGTATCCCCTGATCAGGTGAAGACTTTAAGTACCTCAGTACTCTGTATGCTGCTTGCATGTGTTCTGCACAAGGTCTTTTCTGGTACTGGCATAGCTGCTGGACAGCAAAGGCTATGTCAGGCCTGGTGATAGTCAGGTAATGTAGTCTTCCCACCAGGCGTCTATAACCTTCTGCATCTTCTAGCAATGTACCCTGTGATGATAACTTGACCTTAGTATCAATTGGTGTCTTGCACCCTTTGGACTCCAGGTACCCTGTGTCCTTCAACAACTCAATACAGTATTTCCTTTGGCATACATCCAAACCATTCTCAGTCCTGCTTACTTCCAAACCCAGAAAGTACTTGAGTGGTCCAAGAAGCTTAATCTTAAATTCTTTACTCAGGGCAACCTTAACTTGTTCAATATCCTTCCTTGAATCTCCTCCTAGTATAATGTCATCTACATACACTAGGAGAACTGTGATCTTGCCATGAGTCCATTTAGTGAACAGAGAATAATCTGATGCAGACTGTGAAAAACCAAACTTCAATAGGAAACCTGTCAATTTTGCAAACCACTGCCTTGATGCCTGCTTAAGGCCATATAATGACTTTTTCAGTCTACAAGTCATCTTTTGTCCATTCACTGATGGTACCTCCAATCCCAAAGGCAGTTTCATGTAAACTACCTCTTCTAAATCTCCATGCAAGAAAGCATTGGAGACATCAAGTTGTTCAAGCATCCAATGTTTAACACTTGCTACTGCTAAGAAGGTTTTCACAGTGTTAATTTTGGCTACAGGTGAGTATGTGTCTAGGAAGTCAATTCCATAGACTTGGGTATACCCCTTGGCTACCAACCTGGCTTTGTTTCTCTCCAATGATCCATCCTGATGGAGCTTAATTTTATAAACCCACTTGTTGCCAATTTCTTTGGCTCCTGGTGGCAATGGAACTATGTCCCAGGTTTGGTTTTCTTCTAGTGCAAACATTTCATCCTTCATAGCCCTATTCCAGACATCTGATTTAATTGCCTCATAATAAGACTTAGGCTCCACTAGGTTCATCACATTCATGGCATAAAATCTGTCTTCTTTGCTTAAAGCATTAACACTTAAACAAAGTGGATACCTGTTACAGGAATTGGCTCCACCAAATGCTCCAAACTTAAGGGAAGAGTCCAGTTCATAATCTCCATACTTGGTTGGCAGTTTAATGTGCCTGAGTGGTCTTTTGTTTGCTTCTGTGCTAGGATCATCAGGATCAACATCAGCTTGTGGATGAAGTTCCTGCTCATCAGAATCAAAATATGTGTAATGCTCATCAGCAGGTGATACCACTGGCACATTAGGGGACACTTCAGGAGACTTCTCATGCTCCCCCCCTTCATCTGTGGATGAAACAAACTGAGAAGGAGATGCATCAAGAGAGAAAGGAACTGTGAGTGATGGAGGATTTGTAGCAGGAGGTGGAACATGGGAACTGAGAGGGTTAGCAGGAGGAAGAGGTGTGTCTGGTGACTTGAAGGGTAGAATAGTTTCATAGAATGAAACATTTCTGGAGAAAAACACCTGTTTGGTGTGAATGTCCAGAACCTTGTAGCCTTTAAGGCCTGAGGGAATACCAATGAATACACACTGCCTAGCCCTTGGGGCAAATTTGGTTCTTCCATGTACCAGTGTATTAGCATAACAGAGGCATCCAAAGACTTTCAAGTGTCCCATGAAAGGCACTTGCTTGTATAACACTTCATAAGGTGTTCTGTTTTGTAAGATGGGGGTTGGCATTCTATTTATTAAATAAACAGCATGCAAAACAAAGTCACTCCAGTAGAAGAGTGGTAACCCTGACTGAAATTTCAAGCACCTAGCCACATTGAGGATGTGCTGGTGTTTCCTTTCCACCCTTCCATTCTGCTCTGGTGTCTCAACACAAGAG